TTGCTACAACTTTAAAAGCACAACTACAATGACATGGGAAAATACCCGAACAAAGCTGAATGCCATACATGTAAGTACCCGTGAAAACTTAAGAAATATATATATATATATATTTCATACATGGTGAATTGAACAAGGTTAAACGTGGTGTGATTTACTATTCTTCTCTCTGTATAAAACATCTGAAGCAAATCCATAAAAATGAAGGAAATATTTTTAGTGCCTAAAGTATATGTTTCCAGACTTAAGAATGTGGAATGGGGTTATTGCTAATCTGTTTCACCAGTCACAATAGGTGAATGAACCAGACTTTCCTGACCACCATATCCTTAAATTTTACACTTTATTTATTAAGGCCATATGGCCATAAAGGATGGGCAGAACAAAAAAAAGGACAAATAACAAAGTTAGCTTATATTTCATTGTTCTGATGAAATTGATGAAAATGCAACCACATCTGAAATATTTTTATCCCATTTTTGTTGCTTTGCCCAGCCATTGTTAATCTCACCAACTGATCACTTTTCTCTATTTTTAAATAGTACGGTGCCAATGCCAATGATCACTAGCTTTATATTGCTATAAATTTTCAAAGAGATCAAGTAGGTGAACTAATTTACTTTAGTAAATTATGGTATGACTGATTTTACATTTGCCCACTATTGAGTTATCTGTTTTGTCTCTGTAGCTAAACATTATAATAACATTCATAGACAAAAAATACCCTTAAAAACCATGAGCAAAGCATTCATTTGCTGTTTTTAATTTTGACCTCTGAATGTGGAAGACAAATCATTAGTCTTTCCTTGTTGAAATAACCTCAATGGAGAAATCTATTTTGAAATGTTTTTTTTTCTTTTTTTATATATTAAATCTGTGAGTTTGGAGGAAAAAGATGCTTTATATACTTGTGAGTGGATTCCCACTCTCAGTATTGTTCTACTGGTGAAATTATGAAAGCAATATGTTGCCTTCTCCTTACAGCCTCCAATAAAGATCTTGCTTGGAAGTTTGGATTTTTATGGATAATAAGAGAGATAATAAGAGATACCAGGGAAGTGTTTCTTCCTTAATAAAGGAAGGAATATAGGAAGAAATACTTCTTCACATCTATTGGATCCTGATTCCTTCTGTACAGGAAAGGACTGTCTCTTCGTGGAAAGGGCACTCTAGATCAAACTATCCTAGCAAGTCTATGATAATTTATATTCCAGATTGAACTGTCATTCCCCATTTGGCTTTAGATTTGCTCCATATTGTTGTTTGTGATGTTATTTAGACCCTTTCTAATTTCACCTGATAATCCTTGATTTCATGAACTTTCAATGTTATAAGCGTTTCTTTTTCTTTCTTTTAAATTCTTTTTTCTTTAGTAATTTTTTTTTACTTTAGAATTTTTTTTAGTAATTGAGTGTCTTATCACTTTTCAGTTCCTACATTATTTTACTGCTCTCTACTTAACAGTCATAAAGAAAAGTTTTCCAACTTGAAATCCACAGCTATGTTTTTTAAAGCCTTCTCACAGATAAATCTGGAATCTGCACATAAATGAAATTTTTCTCGTGATTTATCTTTAAAAGCAAAAGCTGGGAACGTTATCTGAGTACATGCATTGAAATTACAATAACTTCTTCTTGGATAACATTATCAGTTTCTAATTCAAATTGAGATATTATGGAACACCATACAACAATAGTATGCTTTTCTTAATCTTTAATATGTTTCTGTTTCTTCTAAAATCTTTCTGCATATTTGTAGCCACCATAAAAATATGCCATTTTTTTTTGTCCATCAAGTCAAATGAGAGTTTCATAATATGGGACATTTTCACATTTTGTGTGTCAGATCCTGTCAGGATTTTCAACGTAAGGCCACAGTTAGCCTCTCTCCTCAATATTTTCCCATTGGCTACTGCTAAAACTGCTACTGGGCAGAGAAAGAAAATAAAACCGATGATGTTATTACAGTTTTATACCTGCTTTTTTTCTTACTAAAAGGAGACTTTTCACCTGTAGGATCGATCCTAGTCTTTCACTTTACTCAGTCTTGTAAACAACTTGTTAAAGGAGTTGTACTGGCCAAATATAGCTAATCATAAAAGTAATACTGTTCCGAAGTTTCAAAATTCTCTAATCTTTCTTCCTTTCAAAAAGAAACTTTAATTTTTTAATGGTTCTAATACATTTTTCCCTAATTCTGTATCTGCAACCTCTCCATCTTCTGCATCTATACAAATACATAATTAATCACTACATAAAGGAAAACCCCTTTATGTAGTGATTAATTATGTATTTTTATAGAAGACCCCTTAACCATCAAAAGATAGAAAAGGGCTGCCACACCTGTCAGTTCCTCTTGCATCAGGCTCTTAATAAAAATAGAGTGTAAAAACATTCTTTTTTCTTTGGGACAAAAGTACTTATTCCCTTGAGCTTCCTTATCTGCTATTAAATATTTATACAGGGCTTTCCTTCTGACTGGATGATCAGGAAATAGAAGACTTATTTTCTCTGCTTATTTTCAGCGTTTTGATCAGCCAGGCAGAAGGAAAATATTCCGCTAAATAAGCGGCATAAATATGGACAAACAATCGTTTGGAAAATTTCATGATACAATTTTTGTTCTGTTACATTAGGAAGAAAAATCCATCTATTCTCCTTTATCTTAATAGAGTAGTAGTATAAGTAGATCAGTTACATTACATCCATTAACCATTTTAAGTTGCTTAAGTAAAATTTCCTTAGAAGAATAATGTTGAATGCAATATGTTCACTAATTTGAAAGCCAACCTATATAAAAGTTTTTAATTGTCCTTTGGAGGCTCTTAATCTTAGGAAAACATTGAGAGACACAGAAAATTTGAAAAAATAAGACACGCTTCTTATTTCTGCCAAATAGACATGACAATGGAAAATAGCAAGGATCATAACAACAGAGATTCATTAGGAAATTTGTTTAATACAAAAGTAGGAAGAATATTAAACTTTGAACATAAAAATCAACTGATATTCTGGAATAATTTTCCATACTCAATTTTGTTTAATATTTTCCTCTAGTGTCTTATCTGAATCTGCATTTACTGTAACACAGATCTACTGAACAAATTGGTTAGTATTAATATGGTTTTTCTATTTTATGGAGTTTTTTTACCATTTTTTACTTATGGAAAACTTTAATTTTACACATTAGTAAAAATGTCAAACATAATTACATTGTCTTTTTTTAATTTTGATTTTAAAACATTTTCCAAAATGCTGATTTACTGGAAACATCTTCTGTTACAACATATTATTTCCATCTATGTATTAACATTCTTCATCAACATTCTGAACAATAACATTTGACAGTTCCTACTTGATTTTAACACTTGCGTATCAAGAACAGTTTGCATGGAGAATAATTAATTGGTTCTTTTATTGGGGGAGGAGAATGACATAATCTTTATAGCAGGGCAGGGATTTCCAATTATTTTCAGGTTATTGAATCTGCTAATTAAAAAGAAAACTTTCTGGATCCCTCATCAAGAGACAAAATTTTAGTAAAAGAAGATTGATTGTGTTTTAGTCTTATCACGGAACACAAAGTTGTCCTAGAGCTCTCATGTTCCGCAGATGATTGTCTAAAATCTTGTTCTAGGGGATAAAATTGAGTCTATCCCAGAAAAGAGTAGAAGACTACTTAATGAGTCAAAATCTGATTAATAAGAGTATCTTGTCCCTTATTTTAAAAAGTATGTGAAATGCAAAATTTGCTGCCCTTTTGCCTACTCACAGGTTGCTTAGATTATAGTCTAAAAATCAAAGTACATGTCTACTCAAGATGAGAAGTAGTATTTCGCCATTATAAGAGATTTTTAAAGAGTAAGCAAATGGGATTTGTC